CCCCAAAACCCCAAAACCCCAAAACCCCAAAACCCCTTATAAAGCATTCAATATTGATTTAATAATTGAGCTAAACTAGTTAGCTTTTCCTTCATCTTTCTTTGCTTCTTCCTCTTCTAATTTCTTCTTATGAACTTCTTCTGCTTCTTTGTAAAGATTACTAAGCATCTTCTTCTCTGCCATAATTTTAAGCATTTCTAGAGCAAGAGGTACATAATTATGCTTTCTTCTCTGATTTTCTCTAGTCCATTTGGCTCTCTTTTCCACCTCGTCGGCTTTCTTTCCTTCTAACTCATTGAGCTCAGCATGAATTTCTCCTAATAATTTTTCTTGTGGCTCTGGCTCTGTTGGAAGGGCGTCTATTTGTTCATCTGTGAGTTCTCCCTCTAATTCTTCATCTTCAACTTCCTTGCCCAGTACAATGGAAAGATAGCTTATTTTCAGCTTGCACAAATTTATGCTCTCTTCGTATTTTTGGAGGAGGTCACCTGTTACTGCCAAGAGATTAAACCTTACTTCTTGGGAAGCGTATTGCTCGATTCTTTTGTTGATTTCATCTCTGGCAACTGGAAGCCAAGCATCCATATCGACATCTGCAAGCTCGATTGGGCCTCCTTGGAGTCCATCTAGCTCATATAGCTTTCCATTGTGAGGGACATAAGCAATGAAATGGAAAATATCGTCATCTTTGGTTGCTTTTCTAGATTCGATTTCGAATGGCTCTTGTCTTGCAAATGAGTTGTGAGCTTGCCTGATCTTTTCAGAGTTACCAAGAGTTAATCCAATATCTTTTGGGGACATTCCCACAGTGAAATTCTTTAAATTATCAAGTTCTTCTCCAATGTCTACTTCTGGGGTATTCATTAGAACTGATAAAATAGCTTGGGTAGCACAAGCATTGTTAATCACTTGTTCAGCGTAAAATAAAGTTGGGTCATATTCTTTCAGAGGGTTTCTGTCCTCCGTCTGCTCTGTCATTTTGAAACAAAAGATGAGTCCGAAAATAGGTCTGTATTATGAAAAGTTAAATCTTACTGGATTTGGAACAAGAATTCATCATCAAGTGAGATGAGTTCTTCCACCTGTGCGTTCTGGACTCCAATAGTTTTGAAGAGTTCGGAGAATACCCCTAGAGTGATAAAAGCTTTGATTTACCTGGATCTGATTCGATAAGGCACCAGTTGTTCATTTTTATAAATTATATTAATCAACCGAATTTTATAGAATTGGGGTTTTGGGGTTTTGGGGTTTTGGGGTTTTGGGGTTTTGGGG